AGTGCATGTATCTTCTGATCATGGATTTTGTTTTCTTTGGATAAATTCCTAGAAGTGGAATTACTGGGACATGTAGTACTTCTATTTTTAGCTTTTTGAGGAACCTCCATATTGCTTTCCACAGTGGCTGCACAAATTGACATTCCCACCAACAGTGTAGGAGGGTTCCTTTCACATCCTTGCCAACACTTGTTATTTCTTGTTGTTTGGATAGTGGCCATTCTAACTGGTGTGAGGTGATAATCTCATTGTGGCTTTGATTTGCATTTCCCTGATGGTTACTGATGTGGAGCAACTTTTCATGTGCCTATTGGCCATCTGTATTTGGCCAACAGAAGAATCTTTGGAGGAATGTTTGTTCAGGTCCTCCACCCATTTTCTAATGGGATTATTTGTTTTTTTGTTGTTGAGTCATATGAGTTCTTTACATATTTTGGATATTAACTCCTTTTCAGATAAATCATTTATGAATATATTACCCATATTGTAGGCTGTCTTTTGTTCTGATGATGGTGTCCCTTGCTGAACAGAAGCTTTTTAGTTTGATATAGTCCCACTTTTCAATTTTATTTCCCTTACCCAGGGAGATGTGTCTAGAAAAAAATTGCTCATGCTTGTGTTCAAGAGATTCTTGACTATGTCATCTTCTAACAGTTTGATGGTTTCATGTCTTACATTTAGGTCTTCAGGACATTTCAAGTTTACTTTTATAAAGTCAAAATGGATTGTAAAATGGAGTTAGACAGTAATCCAGTTTCATTCTCTTGCATGCAGCTGTCCAGTTTTCCCAACAACAGTTATTGAAGAGAGTGTCATTTCCCCTTTGTATGTTTTTGCCTCCTTTATCATATGTTAATTGACCATATATGTGTGGTTTCTATTCTGTTCCACTGATCAATAGGTCTGCTCTTTTGCCAGTACCATGCTGTTTTGTTTGCCAGTACCATGCAAAGCTATATAGCTTGAAGTCAGGGAGCATAATATCCCCAGCTGTGTTCCTCTTTCTCAGAATTGTTTTGGCTATTTGGGGTCTTTTGTGGTTCCATATGAATTTTAGGATTATTTTCTCTAGTTCATTGAAAAGTGCTGTTAGTATTTTGATAGGGACTGCATTGAATCTGTAAATTGCTTTGGTCAGGAGGGCCATTTTAACACAATTCTTCCTATCCATGAGCATAGGATAGATTTCCATTTATTTGTGTCTTCTTCAATTTCTTTCATGAATGTCTTAGTTTTCAGAATACAGGTCTTTCCCCTCTGTGGTTAGGTTTATTCCTAGGGTTTCTCTTTCTGATGCAATTGTGAATGGAATTCTTTTCCTGATTTCTCTTTGTGCTAGTTCATTGTTAGTATAGAGGAATACAACAGATTACCATGTATTAATTTTGTATCCTGAAATTTTTCTGAATTCAGTTATTAGTTCTAATAGTTTTTCTGATAGAGTCTTTAGGGTTTTCTATATATAGTATCATGTCATCTGTAAATAATGACAGTTTTACTTTTTCCTTACTAATTTGGATGCCTTTTATCTCTTCTTGACTTATGTCTGTGGCTTGAACCTCCAGTACAATGTTCAACAAAAGTGGTGAGAATGGACATCCTTGTCTCATTCCTAATCTGAGAGGAAAAGTTTTTGGCTTTTCACCACTTGGGCATGATGTTAGCTGTGGGTTTATTGTATATGGCATTTATTATGTTGAGGTATGTTCCCTCTATACCCTTTTTGTTGAGAGCTTTTATCATGAATGGATGTTGGATTTTGTCAAATGCTTTTTCAGCATCTACTGAGATGATCATATGGTTTTTATCCTTTTTGTTAATATGGTATATCATATGGATTAATTTACAAGTATTTTACCATCCTTGCATACCTGTAATAAATCCCATGTGGTTATGATGGATGATCCTTTTGATGTACTTTTTAATTCGGTTTGCTAATATTTGGTTTTAGTTATTTATTTCTCTGTTGATCAGGGACATTGGTCTGTAATTTTCTTTTCCTTTATTTGTAGTGTCTGTCTGGTTTTGGTATTAGAGTGATGCTGGCCTCATAGAATGAGTTTGGAAGCATTCCCTCCTCTTCTACTTTTTGGAAAACTTTAGAAGGATGGTATTGGCTCTTCTTTAAATGTTTGGTAGGATTCAGCTGTGAAGCCTCCTGTACCTGGTCTTTTGTTTGATGGGAGCTTTTTGATTACCAATTCAATTCTGTTACTGGTAATTGGTCCATTCAGATTCTTTTCTTCCTTGGTCAGTCTTTGAAAGTTGTACTTTTCTAGTAATTTGGCTATTTCTTCTAGGTTTTCCAATTTTGGGCATATAATTTTCATAGATTTTTCTAATAATTCTTTGTATTTCTGTGGTATGTTGTAACTATTCCTTTTTTCTTGTTTTTGACTTTATTTCTGTCCTCTCTTTTTCTTTTTTCAGATAAGTCTGATTAGGAGTTTGTCTATTTTGTCTGTCTTCTCAAAGAACCAGCTCTTAGTTTCAATTTTTTCTATTTTTTTAAATTCTCCTCTATTTTACTTATTTCTCCTCTGATCTTTATTATATCCCTCCTATTAACTTTGGGTTTCATTTTTTTCTTCTTTTTCTTTTCTTCAGTTGTGAGTTTAGTTGTGAGACTGTTTATTTCGGGTTGTTCTCATTTCTTGAGGTAAGCCTGTGTTGCTATGTACTTCCATCTTAGAGATTCTTTTACAGCATCCCACATATTTTGAACTGTATTTTTGTTTTCATTTGTTTCCATGTATTGCTTGATTTCTTCTTTGATTTGTTCATTGATCTATTGATTATTTAGAAGCATGTTGTTTAGCCTCCATGTGTCTGTGGGTTTTTATTTTCTTCATGTATTTGATTTCTAGCTTCATAACATTGTGATATGAAATGATGCTTGATTAAATTTGAATCTTCTTAAATTTATTGAAGCTCTTTTTGTGTCCTAATATGTGATCTATTCTGGTGAACATTCCATGTGCACTTGAAAAAAATGTATATCTTGCTGCTTTTGGGTGGAATGTTCTGTATATACTTGTTAAGTCTATCTGATCAAGTGTGTTGTTCATCTGAAATATTTTAAAGTTAGTGCTACTACAGGCATTATGGAAAAGTAATGCGAGTCATAAGATATATACTAAATATCAGTTGCTCAATAATGCAAGTAACCTGTATAAAAAAGAATTCTTAGCTTAGAGAAGTTCTAACAAAAACGTGTTTGGTTAATATATTTAGTACCATGGTATGGCTTTACAAAATCCCATTTTGTAATCCACAAAACAATGATACGTATCAAATGGTTGCCAACTCCACCTCTTCTCAAAGACCCCACTGGAACCTAGCTACTATGCTAAAACCTAAATCATCATCCCTTTTGCTATGTCCACTGTAACCAGGACAGAGTGGTTTGTTTTTTAATCAGTTTGTTCAGATGATGAATTATTATTAGGCAGTAGTTCTCAAAGTATAGGTTAGGGATGCTAAGACCCTTCAGGCGGTCCTTGAAATCCTTTCACTGGATTCCTGAGATCTATTCTGAGGGTCCATGGGTTCAAAACTATTTTTATAACAATACTAAAATATTATTTTCTTTTTCACTGTCATCCTCTCATGCATATTATTGGAGTTTTCCAAAGGCAGAAAAAGTGATGACATCATTACTCTGACAGCAAGTTGAATGTGTGCTTGTGTATTCTTGCATTAAAAAATTTCTCAGTTTTAATTTTGAATACAGTAAATATCAACAGATACAACCCACACAAACAAAAGCTGTTAAGGATCTCCAATTATTTTTAAGAATGTACAGGAATCCTGGGACCAAATGTTTGAGAACTGTTGCTACAAACAAGTTAATGATTCAAAACCTGTGTCGAGTGCCCACTCTGAACAGACTATGGGAGCACCAGGTTTGAGCAGACACAACCCCTCCATTGAGGAGAATACTACCTTGTTGGGGAAGACAAACAGTTATAATGTGATGAAGCCAGTGAAACAAGCACAGAATATTATGGTTGCTAAGAAGAGGAACAATGACTTAATCATTTACTGACCAAGTATTTCAGTCAACAGGAAAGACATGGAGGAGTGAGAGAGCCTGATGCCCTCAAGGAAACTGCAAGGGGCCAGGTCAGGATATCCTACCTTGTATTTTCGGCTACTTTCATAAATCTGGTGATTATTATTGGACTATATTCAAAATGACCCACTGAATGATATGTTGTAAATGTTTAACAACTGGATCTGAAAAAAAAAAGACACCTGATTTGTAACATTTGCCCACCTCTGTGGTGTGAATGTTCCCATCCCAGCTGTTCTCAAGCCACCACTGTCTCTCCACTGAGCATGGGACCTAGAGAGAGGAACACACCACCATATGTCTGTGTGTAGTAGCTCAGCATGCTTAATACATTTACTGACTGTGAGTGTGAATAACCCTAAGAGACAGATAATAATGCAATGCAGTAAAATAATTTGAAAGCGGTGAGTTTTGAATATCATCTTTATTTTTAATATAATTTATTTAGTTTTAAGTGTAATTTATATATTTATTTTTTAATAGTAGTTTAATTTTTAATAGCGGCTTGTGTTGAGCAACCAGCTTGCAAATTTTTCCTGAAAATTTAACAATTTGTTCTTGCAAGCCAGTGTAAGCTGGCTTCAGCATGCCAGTGGATCTACCACCTCCTTAGAACCACATTGTTAATTATGGTGTCATCACAGTTTCCTCATTTTGGAGAGGGAAGAAAATGGGACATTCTGACTGAGAGCCAGGTGGGGAACTGTAAAGTTCCATTATGAATGTAGCTATGCAAAGAAGTGGGTGGCAGACAGAGTGGGTGGGGGGGTGGTGCAAGGCCTGAAACATAAAAAGAATGGGTAATTATGGTAAAGAGCATGAAGAATGGTAATTATGAAGTCAAGTTCAGAGAGCAAATGCTACCCAGTAGAAACAGGTGCTCCTCAGAGAGGGCATTACATTTATGGAGTGTCTACTGCACACTGTGAACTCTGCCAGGCACATGGCACATTGTATGTCATCTATACGTGTCACATGGAGTCACATGCTCCAAAGGCAGATACCTCAAAGAGTGCCAAGTAAGAATGCAAACTCAAGTCCAGCTTCAAAATCTTTGCTCTTTCCATTTCATCGACCAAGGATAGAATAGAATACGTACAGGGTAGTGGAATAGGGGTATCTGGGAGCAAAAACCAAGGAGACAATACTGAGGGCCAAGTGGCATCTATGAAAGGAAGATCACCGCGGGGGAGCCCAGCAAGGCCAGTTCCAGGCAAGGCAGCCCTCTGCTCAGAGGCCGCTTCCCGAGGGCAGCTCTGGGGTTGCCAAGGGACAAGAGATACTCTCGTGGTGAGAGAGAATTCTTTTTTCCTTTTTCAGGAAATGCCAAGAGCTTTGTGCACGGCTTTGTGTCAGCAACAGGAGAATCAGTGTGGCAGCTGAAGGAATGTGGAAGCAAACGCAGGAGTCCAAAGGAAAGAACATCAGATTTACGCGTATCCATGCGAAGCCCCAGCGAGGGAGAAGGAAGAGGAGGCGGAGGAGGAGACCCCAGGGAGGCGGCGCCCGGCTCTGCGCCGCCCCCGCCACTACTGTTCGCAAGGGCCCCGCAGCCTCTCTCCTGTCCGCGCCGCCCCTCCCCCCCCAGAGGATCGCAGGCGCCAGACACAGCCCGGCGGATGCCAAGAGTCAGAGGCACAGCCCCTCACTGGGAATAGAGCCCCTAAAGGGGTCAGGGAGAGGGAGCGGGCAGCGGGGACCCAGGCGGAGGTGCAGGTCCAACGCCCGGGAAAGCAAGGTGGCCGGGAGGGCGCCAAGGAGAAAGAGCCTCAGGCGCAGCACAGCACTGAGGAAGCCTCAGCCCGCAGAGTGGGGGCTCCGGTGCAACAGAAGGGTCCGGAGCTGGGCACGAGTTCTGTGTCCCACCAAGCTCGGTCATTGCTGGGACCCCCCTCAGTCTCCATGTAACACGTAGCCCAGAGGCAGAATGATGGAGGGTGGGGGTGTGTGGGGGCTCAACAATGTCACCCAGAGTCTAGGGCATTCTTTCGTCTTTTCTCTCCCTCAGATGAACTCTACTCACAAGGTGGCTGCCTCGGGTGTGGCACAGCTGCGGCTCCTGCAGCACCTCTCCCCGCGGCTCATCCACTCAGCGCAGAAAACCTTCTCCAGAGCCCCACCCTGATGTTTGCTAACTGAACCGTATCACCCCGCCGCAACTGACTGACCCGCGGTGCGCGAGGGACCGCTGCGACTGGCAGACCACCCCCGAACCATCCCCTGGAGACAGGAAGGGGCCTCGTCCCATAAGCACATGGCCGTCTGGTTCCTGAAAAAGATTTGCCTCCTTTCCACAAGAAAAAATGTTTGTGGATGCTGTGAGCAAGAGACAATCAAGTCAGGTACAGATTTGTGAACATGTGGAAGAGCAGGAGGTTTACTTGTTTAATGCAACTGTTACAGCTCTTACCACCCTGGCTCTCAGCCTCAGCCTCACAATGAAATTATGTGGCATAAAAAAAATACCTATGTCTGGATGTCACCTCCAGGGATTCTGATTTAATTGATATGGGGTGTAGGCTAGGCATTTGGATTTTTAAAAGCTGCCCCAAGTGACTCTTAATGTGCCATAAAATTTGATTTATTACATGGCAGGTTCTGTTTAAAATGCTTTAGAAAGTGTTAATCTGTTTAATTCTCTTAACAGTCCTATGAGAAAGGTACCATATTAAACTCCATTTTATAGATGAGGAAATTATGGCACAGAAAGATTAAATTCCTTACCTAAGAACAAGCCAAGATTCAGACTCTGGATGTCTGGCTACATACCATGCTCTAAGACACTATATCACGTGGAATAAAGAAGCAACAATCCTGTAGAGAAGTATTTGAAATGCCTATTAAAAATCCAAGTAGAGATCTTGAGCGGCCATAGTTTATGTGAATCTGGAGTCCGGGAGAGAAATTGCGACTACTGACGTAAAGCTGCTTATCCTGGGTGTAGAGATGGTCTATAAAGCGCAGGCTTAAGTGAAATCACTGATAGGGAGATGTCAAAGAGAAAAGGAGAGGCAAATCTGTACGAAGAGAAAGTTGATTGGTGTGGGAACCAGAATTAGCTGTGAAGAGCAGGAGGGATCTTACAGCACAACAGACATGCTCTAAAACTAGAGTGTGGTGATAGTTGCAAAACTTTGTAATATACTAAAAACATTGAATTGTACACTTAAACTGGATGAATTTATGGTATGTAAATTATACCTCAATAATGTTAGAAAGAGAACAGAGTTTGGTGGCATGGCAACATTTCCAGTGCAAACAGAAGGGGGGCTTGCAAAGGTGTGATGAGGCCTTGGAGGGACGTGGAGGACAGGAACACAGCAGCTGGGCTTTGGGAGTCCTCCCGGGAGGAGGTGCCCTGGGGAAGAGGTGCCCCAGAGAGAAGGTGCCCCAGGGGGCAGTGCTCGGCTGTTTTGAAATCCCTGAGTGTTTGCAGAAGAGTGGTGAGGACAGAAGCAGTAGCCACTGAATTTGACCAGAGGAGGTCATGCTGACTCTGAGGGCTGCAGAGCAGTCAGACAGCCTGGGATGGGAGTGAGGGGTGAGGATGAAGGAACAGCAGCCAGCCAGGCTCCTCATGGCCTCTGGTACTCCAAGGCTTGTAGATGTTCCCCCAGTTCTCTACTTTCATTTCCCACCATGTTCTTCCTGGGAGTGTGTCTTTGTCTGAATTCTCCCTTTTATAAGTCATATCTGTTAAGGCCCACCTTAATGACCTCATCTTGACATCTGCAAGGACCCTATTTCCAAATAAGGTCACCTCACAGGTCCAGGGATCAGGACTCCCAACACCTGCTGGGGAGACATAATCTGACCCACATCCTGTCTCCTTCCCTTCCAGGGCACAGCTGTCACCGCTGTCTGCTGTCACTGCTCACACCGCCCCACAGGCTCTCTCCTTTGCCTTGGACTGCTTGATTTTGGTTCTTCACTGACACGTTAGCACTTCTGTCACAGGGTGGTCGATCAGGCAGTCAATGTTTTACAATTTCTTTACTTTCTAAATACTATTAGGACACTAAAAATCCATTCATTATGGATTTAT